GAGCTCGACATTGCACCGATTTCGATCGGGATCGATGCGCAATGCGGGGAGAGAAAAGAACAGAGCAAGAGAGGATAATGTGTTGAGTTAGGGTTTCGAAGCGATGAACCGGATGGAGTTTGTTGTGGACAGCTGTGAGATCAATGGCGGGCCGGGCTTGTCAACCCCTGCCGTTTTCAGGTGTCGTGGACTGGCCTTAAGCACGAACTAACTGTTTCTGACTTGTCGCCGCTCCTTGGACGTCCCGTCCCATCCCATGCACCGGTGAATCTGTTCTGCCTTCGTCACTGATGAGTGCAGCTCGCACAAGATACGAAGCAACAGTTCATGCCAATGGGTGGTCGTGGTGTGCCGCGCACGTACTCGCGGTACGGCGCCCGCTACGCCGCCGGTTATGCACCACCACCACCACACATGCACGATCGAGCTCGTGCTCTGGCTGACGAGCACAGTTCCGGTGAGCTGCGGATCGAGCAATTTATCTATATCTATACTACTATATAGTGTACCAGTTTTGAAGATTTGAATCTCAATAATAGGAAAGAATCTGAACCGTTGATATAGTCCATCGAATGGTTCAAAATGCTGGGATTCGCATCTACAGTACCAGCTACAATGCATCTGCAGTATAGTAAAGATTCTGCTATTTTTCAGAACCATCTACAAACAAGAAAAGTTCACCTGCTTGCTACTGTTGTGCATTTGTGTGTGTAGCAGGCCGAACCGAGCATACAAATAGACAGGCAGTCTGCGGCAGCGTGCACGCTAATCACGTTGGCAAGGAACGAGGTGATGTTTTGGCCTTTTGGGACAGTTCTTAGAGTTGGCCGTACTATAAGATACTGACTGACTTGGGAATGGCTTGAGAAGTATTCAATGATGGTTAGCGCATATGCATATCTGATGGAATGATTAGAGAGTTTTTGGATGGAGAAGAAGAAGCGAGATGGTCTCAACCACGGAACACAGCGATGAACATTTCCTTTCTGAAAAATATTGAAGGGGGCTGGAAATAAGAAAAGAAACTTTTGTTATACCTCGTAAAAAAACTTTGGTTGTATATGAGAAAATATACTGGAATAAAATAAATATGGAAATTGATCTGTCCAGACTTATTATATGCAGACCCGTTTATGTTTCATTTTTCATTTTTAATAAAATTTATAGTTTGAGAATTGTTCTTCTCACATTGTGATAACTCATATATATCTTAATGGACGACTGATAGAATTACTTTATTGCTTGCTGTAGGGGCAAAAAGTAGATAAGTTTTCAACATTGTGATAATCAATAATGAAATTTTAAAATGTCCTGAAATTAACATTTGTATGGAATTAAGTGTAAGCATGCAAAGCATGTGCTACTTACTAGTATAACTGCAGTGACCAACTGGGTCACGTTTCGTTCATTTTTTAGCTCAAAAAAGACAATGAGCAGTGATTTTGTTTTGTTTTTCAGGGAGAGGGGTGACAGTGACTCGGTGCAACGTGGCTGCGAGGCACTGGCTGGAACGCCTACGCGGCGCGCATGCAGGGCGCGTCGGCCTGCGAGATGGACCTGCCGGTAAATACCTCACGTGCAGCGGGGCCCATATGCTGCTACCCACGAAAATGTACGCACCGTCTGTTTGCATCGAGGCCCCTGAGAAAGGGGGATATGATGCACGTTCTACTTGTGAGCACGGGAAAATTTCAAATCAGCGCGCATTGCACCCTGAGAAAGCGACGTATGCCTTTTCTTCTTCCGCAGAAAAGATGGCTGTTTCGGCTTCATTCGGTTTGGAGGATTTCTACGGAAAAAACATAGAAATAAGAATTTCGTAGGAAATTTCTTTATAGATGCATTCAGTTTGTATGAAACGCGTACGGAAATTTTATAAAAATACTATTCATTTCTTATATTTTTGGAGGAATTTACACATCTACTCAAAGCTTATTTTGTGCGTAGAGGCAAAATAATTTCTTAGAATGACAAGTATCATCCTATCAAATTCCTATGCTACTCCTAATTCCTACATTTTGGTTTCCTCCAAACCGAATAAGGCCTTCGTTTGTGCCCTAGCAGCCACATCCAACTCGAGGCGTCCTTTTTTTAGACATAAGGGCATCTTTAACGACACCTGCAATTTTCCCCCGTAACCATCTACGGACAGGAGAGCAGGCCACCGACACATGCGAAAGGGCAACATCCAATAGTCACTGTATACATCCGATCTCTCTTATTTTTTTAAGTCCTCATGATTAAATAGCCGTATACATAGTGAAGGAAATATGTCTTAGAGGCAATAATAAAGTTATTATTTTATATTTTTTTATTCATGATAAATGTTTATTATTCATACTAGAATTGTATTGATTGGAAACATAAATACACGTGTGAATACATAGACAAACACTATGTCCCTAGTGAGCCTCTACTTGATTAGCTCGTTGATCAAAGATGGTTAAGGTTTTCTAACCATGGACATGAGCTTAGCATTATGATCATTCAGTTTTATTGCTATTGTTTTCTTCATGTCAAATACATATTCCTTCGACTATGAGATTATGCAACTCCCGGATACCAGAGGAATGCCTTTTGTGTTATCAAATGTCACAACATAACTGGGTGATTATAA